GGCGATCCGGCGAGCGGCGGCAATCTGGTGCATTTAAAGGTCGGCCGTATCCTGATTTGAGATGAGGAGGTGGGGAAGAGAGAGTCGTGCACGCGGGGGATGCGGGAGTGGGACGGGATGCTTCCGATCTAACGGTTTCTACGCATCGCATCGAACGCCTAGGGTTGGACCGGCCCAAAGTTTGGGCCGGCGCACCGGCGCCTATTGGTGCCCTTTTACGAAGCAAAATATGTGCAACCATTTCAGTAGGTGTGGCAAAAATATGTCTTCCACTTTCGGTGTCTAACAGAAAAAATTCAAGAGCAGAGCCTGATATTTTTTTCCTGCAAAAAATAAATCCTGGCAAGTGAATTTCTCATCGTTCTTAAAAATAACTTATTACACATGGCCCCACGTTGTGCCCTTAGCAAGTTGAGTCTGTGCATATATAGACCAGCAGGCATGTGTCCAATCCCACCCATAACCAACCAAAGCAAGTTCAACAAAATGTCACCCACTCAAACCAAGAATAGCTCTCAGGATTTGCTCGAGGCTCAAGTTGACCTTTGGCACCATGCATTGGGATTTGTCTTACATGGCACTCAAATGTGCAATGGAACTGCAAACCCCTAACACCGTCCAACACTATGGTGGGGCTATGACCCCTTCTGAGTTCACCGCAAAGATCGGGCTCCATCCATCAAAGATTCCCCGCTTACGATGGCTCATGCGGGTGCTCACCGTATCAGGCATTTTTGTTGTTCATGAATCCACCATAGCAGACAGGAAGGCTGTTTATGTGCTTACCCCAACCACTTGCCTCCTCGTTAGCAATGAAGTTAAATTGAATTTATTTTCTATTCTGTCGTTGATACTTGATTCAACTGTCCTTGCCCCCCTTTTTTGGCATGAACTCATGGTTCCTAGATGACCTCTTGGCCAGGGAACTTGAGAGCCTGCTTCACAATAGAGTTTAAATGCATTTTATTGAAGCCCTTGTCAGTTCTCACCCAACCAAATATGAGCTCATACATCTTGCTAAGCACAAAGTTGGACAAGAACGACTGACATTTCATCGACTTACCCTTGCTAGATACCCTTGCCTTCCCAACCTTGATGGCTGCCTTATGTGCAGCAACAAAAGTAGCATTTGACACCACCAGCACAAATGCTAGGCTACGTAGTAGGCCCCTCGAACACATCCTTATTCAGAGGCATGTGCTCGTGGATCGAAGGCTGGGAGTCCTCAATATAGGACGACAAAACTTGGTTCTCGGACTAGACAATGGCCTTACGAAAGTCTTGGGTGCTCATGTCCTACAACATTAGCATTAGGACTAGTGGAACAAGGTACACATGAACAGTAAGAAAGACTACTAAACATGAACAATAAACATGGTACACATGGATCGCAAAGTTCAACATAGTTAATGTGCTGAAAGCATACCACTGAGTTCAACATACTATACCATTGAGTTCAACATACTACCAAACCTACGTATTGATGATACTTGCAAACTAGCACACTACACATGGTCTGATTCATAAGCTTGTGCGACATCTATCATAGTATCATCGAAACCAACGTTGAAAACAACATGAACATCATTAAAGCCTACAAGCAAAACCTAGCATGCTACCAATCCATGCATCACCACTATCTACCACAACGTCACATGCTCATAGATCAATAGTCTTTAATGCTACCACATACTCACAGATCTACTACTTCTAC